TGTCACCTCAGATCAATCAAGATAAAACACTTCTGTTACTCTCATTGCTGAGAGTAGGAAACAGAAGTTCAGAAAGATTGAATAACTGATCCAGTTTCCCAATAGTAATTATCTGTGATCTTTGTATTTCACTAGCATTTTCTCAAAGGAATATTTTTTCTCCAGTAAGGAAATRGTATAAAAAGCTGTACCATTAATTGAAAAATTATTTTCTTCATCAATATGGTTGGTGAATTTCATAATCTAATATTGTTATCTAATATCACACTAAAGATTATTTAACATTTGCCAAATACCTGTCATATAATAGATGTTTAATGAATACATGTCAAACTATCAGAATGACTGTGATTTGGAATTAATGTTATCTAAAATTAAAGATTCATAATATCCAGAATTTGTGAGATTATAGTGAAATAGCATTGATAGATGGCTGTGAAATTTTTGCAAGCTGATTTGGCAATTGCCAACAAATTTTCAATGTATATTTTCCTTGGTTCAGAAAATCTATTTCTAAATATCTATCTTAGGAAATACTTTTATGCTCATGATATATATAGGTGTTCTATTTTATCATTTTTTTAATATTTATTTTTTAGTTTTAGGTGGATACAATATCTTTATTTTATATGTATGTGGTKYTGAGGATTGAACCCAGTGCCTCATGCATGCTAGGCGAGCACTCTACCACTGAGCCACAACCCCAGCCCCTGATTTATCATTTTTATTGTCAAAAAGCAGAGCATAAATATAATTATCTAATATTATGAGTTGCATATTTTTGAATGTTATATAAGAWTTTTTTTAAAATGAGGAAAAGATATATGTATTGAAATGAAAGATCTCCAAGATACATTAAGTGAAAAAATGTAACAGAATTAATTTCTAGGATATATAAAGAACTCAAAAAACTTAACACCCAAAARCCAAATAATCCAATCAATAAATGGACTAAGGAACTGAACAGACACTTCACAGAAGAAGAAATACAATTGATCAAAAATATATAAAAAAGTATTCAACATCTCTAGCAACTAGAGAAATTAAAATCAAAACTACACTAAGATTTCATCTCACTCCTGTCAGAATGGCAATCATCAAGAATACAGGCAACAATAAATGTTGGTGAGGATGTGGGGAAAAAGGTATACTCATTCATTGCTGGTGGGACTGCAAATTGGTGCAACCATTGTGAAAAGCTGTATGAAGATTCCTCAGAAGACTTAGAATGGAACCACCATTTGACCCAGCAATCCCACTCCTTGGTTTATATCCAAAGGACTTAAAATCAGCATGCTACAGTAATGCAGACTTGTCAATGTTTATAGCAGTTCAATTCACAATAGCTAAACAATGGAACCAACCTAGGTGTCCTTCAATAGATGAATGGATAAAAAAAATGTGGCATATATATATTCAATGGGATATTACTCAGTATTAAAGAAGAATGAAATTATGGCATTTGCCTATAAGTAGATAGAGTTGGAGAATATCATGCTAAGGAAAATAAGGCAATCCCACAAAACCAAAGGCCAAATGTTTTCTCTAATGTGTGGCTGCTAATTCACAATAAGGGCGGGGAGCATCAGAGAAGAATAACGTTACTTTAGATTAGGTAAAGAGAAATGAAAGGAGGGGAGGGCAGGGGATATGGGGATAGGAAAAATAGTAGAATAAAACAAACATTATTACTTTATGTATATATGTGACTGCATGACCAATATGATTCTACAACATGTGCACTAAAAAAAAATGAGAAATTATATCCCATCTATGTAGAATATATTAGAGCATAAATACATTCTACTGTCACAAAGAACTCATTAAAATAAATAAAAAAATTTAAAAAGAATATATAAAGACAAGATATTGAAACTAAAAAATATATCAGAAACATGTAGAATTATTCATGTTGTTTACAGAACTCAAACTATATCTACAGGAAATAAGTAGGAAAATGCTTTGAAAAAAGTTGGAAAGGTTATTCCTCAGAGAATTATCAGTGCTAATTCTGGAAAGTGAAGAGGGCCAGGAAGAGGATTAACAGCAATTTCCACTTTGTGAATTAAATTGGATTTTCCACAATTAGTATGTATTAATGTTTACTTGTGAATTAAAAGGGAGAAAAAGTAGCTTGCTCAACAAATATATTTAGAAACCCTTTAATATGGGTAATAGGTTCTAAAATGTAAAAACAGTAAGTTTTCTTGGACCTTAAAACATCTCTACTCCAGTAATGAACAGTTGTTTTTAAAATTTTTCAAAGTCATCACTCTTACTAAAATTTTATTACTTGTAATGCTGTTGATTCCCAGCACATTTCCTGTGAATAGTGAAAGAGCCGAATTGGCATCCGAGTGGAAAGCACATGATACTAAAATTCTTGTGGCATTGAGTACTCAGCCAAAAGAGTTTGCCTTAGGACTATTACACCATTTTATGCTTGTTCTGTAACTAGTGAAGGTGACAGTCAATGAACAATTAATCAGAAGCTCCATTACACAAAAGTAGAAAGCAAAAAAGGTACTTTTTCCTCCTTCAAGTGGACAGTTATATCAATGCTCAGTGGGAGGCAGTGTTAGGTGTGGCTGGCAAAAAAGAAAATTCTGCATGCCTATAATCTCAGCTACTCAGGAGGCTGAGGAAGGAGGATCATAAGTTTGATGCCAGCCTGGGCAACATAGTGAGACCATGTCTCAAGATAAAAGATAAAAATGACTGGGTGTAGCTCAGTGGTAGGGCTCTTACTTGCCTAGTATGTGTGAGGCCCTGGGTTCAATTCCCAGCATGTTAGCAATAATAACAAAAAAATTATTCTCAAGGCTTGTAGGATGGCATATTAGTTTTGTAGACTGCAGAAGTAAAGTGCTACAAATTTGGTGTCTTAAATCATAATTTAAAAAAAATATCTATTTTTTTAGTTATAGGTGAACATAATGTCTTTATTTTACTTTATGTAGTGCTGAAGATTGAACCCAGTGCCTCACGCGTGCGTGCTAGGTGAGCGCTCTACCTCTGAGCCACAACCCCATCCCTAARTCATAAATATTTATTCTTTCATAGTTCTGAGGCTAGACTTCCTAAATCAAGGTGTTGGTGGGTCCATGGGCCCTCTGAATCCTCTAAGGGGTATCCTTCATCTCTTCTTGCAATCTCATCATCAACATTAGCTTGCTTAGTTTATTGTATGACTAGTACCCCAAGGAGCAACTGTACTGGTGTAGTTGCAAAAAGGAATTTTTTACAAATAACATTAATTTTCCCTATCTCCCATTTGCATAAGAGAAAGCCAGTGTCCTTCAAGATAATATGTATCTGGACATTCTGGCCCAGGCTTGTTCTCATAACTTGGCAGGGTTTTTGGAAAAAGAAAGGGGCATTCACGGACATGGTGTCTTACTGTCCCCCTTTTCCTTAAGTATCATACAGGCACTTAATAGTTATGCTTAAGGGTTTAAAAATACTGTTTAATCTTAAAAGTATCTCTTCAATGTGTGTATATACAAGTATGCAATAACAAACCCCATCAATAATTACAACTGTAATGCAACAATAGAAAAATGTGGAAAAGAAACTRAAACAAGTCTCTTCAAGCAAGAGAAATGTTATTATCCTGACTGATGAGGAAAGAGAAGCTTTGATTAAAACCTGCGTTGTTTGGACTGTCAAGTGTAATTTCTTAAACAATTGRTCATGGATTTTCAACCATGGTTTTATATCAAAACTACCCAAGAACTTAAAAGAAAATATAGAAGCCAAGACCCCATCTCCCACTTGACTAAGTCAAGTTTTGTTGCAGGTATGGGCTTGGATGAAGCATGTAAGATCCTCTGCTGCCATGCTCTCCCATAGTGGAAAGACAGAATCTTGCCACGTGAATCCATACAGGGTGCCATAAYTGACAACTAGCTGCTTGTTTTAAACTGTAAATGTGGCTATATAATCAGTTTTGAATCCAAATGTGTTAACCATCTAGTTAACATTTCTTATCTCCATATTGAGTGAATGACTTCAAAGACTTGATCAAATTCTTTAGAATTCTCCTTTTTCATTATTAAAGAACAAGGGTAGATTTCTAAATGTTTGCAAATTTCGAGATATATTACTAGGAAYTATCTAAAGAGCTCCAAAATCCCCTAATACACAGAGTAAAAAGAGATCAACATTCCAGCATAGCATTGGCTTAAAATCATATAGTAGGGAGGAGAGAGACTTTTTCTCTCTGAATAACACTAAGCAAGTTACTTCATCTATCAGTGTGGGTAGGTAGAGAATTTCTYAATTTCTCGTTTTGTAAGTTTATGGATAATATATTTTGCTTGTCCACCTTATCTTCCATACCCAAATTTCTAATATAAAAAAGAAATTCCTGCTGGGCATGGTGGCACATGCTTGTAATCCCAGTGACTTGGGAGGCTAAGGCAGGAGGATTTTAAGTTCAAAGGTAGCTGAAGCAATTTAGCAAGGCCCCAAGCAACTTGGTGAGATCCTGTCTCAAAAAAGAAAGAAAAGAAATGGACTGAGGATGTGTCTCAGTGGTAAAGTGCCTCTGGATTCTATCCCCAGTACAAAAAAAAAAAGTCCCCCCCCCAAAAAAAAATTCCTGAATATTCACTAGTTCCAAACCTCTTTTCCTGGAAAACAGGGTGGGAGACAGTAACAGACATTTCCAAATTGAATAACACATCATTGCAAAATATAGGAACATCATTTATTACCATGATACATGCACATAGTTTCAGAGTTCTAAAACTTATTTTTTTCTTCAGGAAAGATAATCTTTTCCCACAGTTCTGTTGTTTCTAATTTTAACAATGACTTTATGGCCATCTTCAGCACTTCTTTGTGTGGGTTTGTGTTCCAGCCTTTACCTCAGCAAGAGTTTTTGTTTATAGAAAAGGGAAATCTCATGGTGGTTGTTGTTTGTAATTTCAGCCTTAATATTTTAGGCAGATTTTAGTTTTGCTATTGAGTAAATACTCCAGTTTCTAACAAAAAAAAAAGGAGCTCCAGCATATTTTGCTTATAAGACACTACCCACAGGTATGCAATATCCCTGTAAATTTTCCCACCTCACATCTTATGAGAAAACAATGGCTCTAGTTCATTATTTAAAGGAGTCAGTGTGAATTCAAGTCATTTCATATCCTGCTATCATTTGCTCAGAGATCTTCTGCAATGGGTCGTATGTAGGAAGAAATGCAGGGGTTGCACTGATGAAGTTTATTTAAAGRAACACATACAAGATAGATCTGAATGGCAACATCGTTTATGTAAGGGGAAACAGAAACCATAAGTGCATCACTTCATTCAGGTGGACAAAATACACTCTGGTACTCAACAAAGCCTTTTGCCTCACCTCTTACCACTGTCCCCTCCTTCACTGTCATCCAGTCACAATGACTTATTTCCTGGTCTTTCAACTTGCCAAACACACTCCCTTCTTAGGGTCTTTGTTTTTGCTAGTCCCTCTACCTTAAACTCTTCGTGGAATGTCACATTCTCATTCTACAGAACTTTGCTGAAATGTTGTTAACTCTAWCAAGTCTTTTTTGGCCTCCATAAAATAACGTCCCCCTCACTTTTTACTCCTTTAGTATTATTTTTCTTAGGGGCAATTACACACCCAGTACATTACACATTCAAAGCATACTTTGTCACTTGTGTGAAACGACAGGCTCCAACCTGACAAGGAAATGCGGGTTGCCTTTATCTAGGACCCAGTAGGCAACAGGTAAATGTTTCAATGAATGAATAAGGCTCTTAACAGAAGTTTTCTCTTCTTTCGCTGTGAGCCTAATTCTACCCTCTCCCTTTTTCAGCAGAGGTGGCTCACTGGAGTCAGGGGTTCATTCGGGATTGTATTGCCACCAAACAGCGCCTGTGATCCAGTTGTTCCGACCCTTGAGGCCCAGAGCCTGGGTAAGGACGGGTCTGCAGTCCCYGGAACGTGAAAGCGAAAGCAGAAGGGGACAACGTGCACTGGAGGGGAAACTCTCCGTGCGGAGGCAGCCCTTCCTCCTTTGGTGCCAGCCTGCGTGCAGTGGGGCCTTCCCAGCCCGGCTGACTCATTCCCAGCCGCCTTCACGGCGGGCGGCGGCCACATACACGCCCATCTGGGGAGTGCCGGGACCAGTGCTGACACCGAGCCCCTGCCAGGCCCCGACGCTCAGCGAGCCGCCGCTACCTTAACTTCCTCGCGCGCTCACGCCGGGGGTTGCCCCGGGAATCTCCACGCGCGCACACCAGCTTCCCGAGAGGCCTCGGTCCTGCGTGGCCCACCCTTTCCAAACCCCGGCGAGCGCCAGGAAAAGCGCAGCCCGCCGAGCGGCGCACGCGCAGTCAGGAGAGAGTCCCGCTGCCTCCTCGGCCCTGCCAGGAGCCTGCCTTAGTCCGCCGCCAACTGGCGGTTCGACTCGAGGCCAACGCGGAGGCTGAGTCCGACGCAAACAGGGCGTCCTAAGCAGTGTCGCCTACGGCGCTGAGAAGACGGTGTGGCTCGGGAAAGGGTGGAGACAACGTCWGTGACGGGCTTCCCGGCTGCCCAAAGTGGGAGTGGTGTGGGCTGCAGGAAGGAGAGAGGAAGAAGAGCCGAAGGGGGCAGCAGCGGCCGCCGCTAACGGCCTCCYGCGGCGCTGACAGGCTAGGCGGGCGCCCGGCGCTCTCCGGAGTTCGCGCCGCCGTGTCAGCCACCTCAGGCCCGTGGGCCCCTGAGCCTGGTCTTGCGGCACCCGTCGGGGCGGAGGGCTGCCGCGGCGCGGGGACAGGCCGGGTCCTCGCCGCCGAGGGATGTGAGTGGGAGCCGAGCCCGCACGGGAGGGCCCGCGAGGGCCCAGCCTGGCGGACGCTCGGACCCGTGTTGGGTCCCGGGCTTCGCAGACCTTGGCCCACCGGAGGCACCGTGAAGGAGCAACTCTTTAGGGCTTGAGGACAGTCCCTTGTCGCCCGATCCGCGCAGCCGGTGGGTGTTGTCGCTGCCTGGCGTCTAGATGAGGGCAGCAGTTGTCTCTCCAACCCCTTACCACCTCGCGATCCCCGACTCCCCCCCACCCCACTCCGGCCAGTGGCAGTGAACTTTGCCAGAAAATCTTCCTCTTTAAGACAAAACCGAGGACGGAATGCCTTGCTGTTGATATTTGCATCCGTGTGTCCCTCATAGTTTCTCCCTCCTTACTTGTCCCTCTTTAACATTTTTGAGACATCTAAACATCCTAGAAAAGAGCATCTATTTCCCCTGGATTTCTGCGGTAGTAACAGCTGCTTCTATTTTTAGGTTTCAGAAGCAGGCAACGGGAACAAGATGTGAACTGTTTCTCTTCTGCAGAAAAAGAGGCCCTTCCTCCTCCTCCCGCGACAGTGGTTATGATATCCTGGCTGCTGTCCTCTATTGCTGCAGTAAGGTGAGGGTGTAAAGGCGAGCTGTGTGTGCGTAGGAAGGTTGGATGCCTGTGTAGACAGGCAGGGCTCCTCTTGCTTACTCTGAAAATGGCAGAGCTGAACTTTTAATGTTGGCTTGGGACAATAATTTTGAGATGTTTATTGTTGCTCTTAGATATTTCAAGAAACATTTCTTGTTGGTCTTAAAAGTAACATGGCTTTGCAGAAAAAAGCAAAGCATTGCTTTCTCTTTATCTTCAAACGGCCAGAAATTCTTAAACTTTCAGAGGGATATTTCCAGATAGTAAGGAATACCTATTGAGCTGTTCTTGCTGCTCTTTCTGCTACCACATTGAATTCTTCCTGGGTAGTTTTATCTGTCTGATCTTGCTGTGTCGGTTGAATTTACCCAGTTTACTTTCCGGTGGTTATTAATCTGTCAAGGGAAACTCCTTTCTCTCAATGAAAGGATAGGAACAGCTGAGTATGTCATAGAAAGGAGGAGAAATGTGGAAAAAGAAAACAGAAGTGGAAATAGGGAGATGTTGATTGCTTTTGGTTTCATAATAGGTTTATACAAGTGAATTGTTGGGCTACTGCATATATTCTGATAATAACACCCAGCAGATTTGAAAATGAATAATCAGTTTTTTGGCCTCTTTCCTCCCATCTGCTTCATCTTTTACTTCATCAAGTGTGAGATTCACTTGCTTGTATGTGTAGTTATCTTTTGTAGTGTAACGTATGTAAATTAAATGTGTCCAGCACTTGCCATAATAGTGCATGTGTTTACTTGTACAGGAAAGCTGCAGTACTTGTTGGCTAGATGAGCACATAATGCTTATTTTTGCTCCAAGTGAGTATTCTGTTTGGAGTTTATAGCATATTTGAAGGGACTGGTTAGGAAATAGTTTCTTTTAGTATCTTTTCCTTAGTGATTTGAGACAGGTGTTTCAGGTATGGGAGACAAATGTAATATCTTTCTCTTCCTGACCTGGTATTCCTGAAAGAAAGAATTTTAGGCAAATAGGAAAGAAATTTGGCTTTAGAGTCAGATCTATGTTTGAATCATGATATTCTTGCTTCTAAACACTTGTATTATTTAAAATGCCTTTGAACCACATTTTTCTTATAAGATTGTTATAGGCTTAAATAAGATGCATGTAAAGTAGTAAATTGCCTGACTGCCAAAGAAGTCTTGGTTAAGCCAGACTGTGCCTGGTGCTTCTCCCAGGGTTGAGGTGGGAGGATCACTTTAGTCCAGAAGTTTGAGACCAGCCTGGGCAAYATAATGAAACCCTGACTGGGGAAGGCRGGGAAAAAAAAAAGTCTTGACTGCTGTTGCAATTGGGCAGGCAAAGGGGAATCAAAGAAAGATAAGATGACTTCACATACAGTGATCTGCCAGTGACCAGTGTTTCTTGCTCTTTAGTTTGAGGAGCAAAAAGACTTTTAGATCTTGAACTGGCTAAGAGGTCTTGTAGCCTTTTACTATTATCTCTCTTTTTGAGCCCGATTGTCCTGCCCCTTGTAGCTTGTGTGCTGCCCTCCTGTGGTTCACTATACTAAGAATTTTTTTTTGTTGTTCTTCCCCCATTATGTTATTTTTCCTTTTTTGGAGCCTTTTTCTTTAGTCTCCAGTTTCCCAAACTGTGTGCTAAGGTGCCTGGAGCATCAGTGAACTCAGGCTTGAACTATTAATTTGAGCTCCTTCACAGTTTCAATGTCAGATACCTRTATCCCTTTCTATAACATTCTATCTTTGTAAAGCTGTGTTTTCAAAGGATGCTCTGCTGAAAATCAACTACTAATTATTTGAAAGTTGGTGTGGAACAGGAAATTATTGGTAGTGTTTAATTGGATTCTGAGGTTTGAGAAGTTGTACAGTGCCTAACAAACATTAAATTGTAAGGATAATAATACTTATTAAGTTGTTTGAACATGCTGAAGTATTTCTTTTAGTGCAAGGATGTCATGAAAAAATTACTGAGATTCTAAGAGCTCCTTGATTGGAGACAATTTTGGAACCTCTGTGTTAATATTTAGTTGGCTTTTCTGATACAATTATTGATACAAAAAGCCAGGGCCAGTTGATCATGGCTTAATATATTTCCTCTCCTTTTATATCATTATAATTTCTGCTCAGTTCTTTCAATTTAAAACTAATTCTGTTGCTTACTTGTCATTACAGTCACTTACTAGTTTTTTCAGTACTGGTCTTATTTCTGATCATCTCCTTAAGCTGAATATGATCCAAATAAAAATCATCATCTTATACACCTGTCTTACTTTGGATCTTGAATATCCTCCAAAGGCCCTTGAGTTAAAAGTTTGGTCACCAGCTTGTAGCACTACTGGGAGGTTGTGGAACCTTTGGGAGGTAGTGCTTAGTGGAAGGAAGTTAAGTTATTGGGGACACCTCTCTTTAGGGGGTGGTTTAGAACCCAGGCCCCTTCTTTCTCTTTACTTCCTTGCTGTCATAAGGTGAACAGGGCTTCTCTTCCACATSCTTAGCATCACAAGTTCTGTCACGGTAGGCCCAAAGCAATGGGCCCAAGCATCCAAGGAATGAAACCATAAACCCAAATAAACCTTTACTGGTTTTAAGTTAATTATGTCAAGTATTCTGAAAACTGATTAACACAAAGCTAAAAATTTCCTTTTTCTGGTCATGTAGGCTTTAAATTAGGCATTATCTCTAAATTGCCTCTTCCATTTACCTTTTATATTAATCCATTCAGTATAGCTATTAATTTTTTTTGTATATCACAATTCTACTTTCTCCCCTTCCCCACTTGAATCCCAAGACTTGTTTCAATGCTTAAAACATTGAACATTGTATAAGCTTCTCAAAATCTTGTTTCTTCCTCCAGCTTGTCCTAAGTAAAGTTATCATTATAATACTCCTTATTGTGGCATTCTCTTATTCCCATGTTTTAAGTGGCTTTTTGTTTTCGCCCATTAAATTTAACTTTGTTTTCCTGGCTTTTATGACATTCTATTAGTGTCTTCTCTGTTCAGTCTTTTGTCTAAGGATTCTCAGCACGTATTCTCTGCCGTAGATTGGCAAGTTAATGTCTCCATTTTCTGATAACAAGCTATGCTTGGTCTATAGTTTAACTTTTGCTTATGTTCTCCATCTTAATTCTAYACCCTATTTCACAGCCACTTGTTATGGAACAACTGACCAGTGTGTCAGTCCCCTAATCTGGAAAATGGGAAGAATTATGGTACTTTTTCAACAGGATTATAGTAAGAATTAAATGAATTAATACATTAAAAGCTCTTAAGCCTAGCACCTTAAGATCTCCTTAAGTGTTAATTATTGTTATTATTAATTAATGCTACTGTTATAATAATGAAATTCTATCTAATTTGTGAAATGGTTTCTCAGTAAATGTGTTTTTTTTTGGTCTCTGTATTCACATAACTTCATAGTCTAAGCACATTTTCACATAGTTTAATTATATGCTATGTTTTGGTTGTTTGATAGTTATTTTCCTTGTCTTATATCTTTTCAGTTTTATTGTGGATTTTTTGAGGCATAGTACCTTAGGTTTAAAAAACACACAGTGCAGAACATAAGGGCAATATTCAATAAATACATATTCGTTGTAAATTAAAAAGGGCTTTAATCACCAAATATTTACTAATAGCTGCACCATAAATAGTATTTTGCTACATCTGAAGGAGATACAGAAAATATAAAATAGGTTCTTTTTTCTGGAGACTTATGGTATAATTGGGGATATAAGATAAATAATAAAAGTTGTAAATATTCGAGACCACTTAGGGTTGAAGTGAGCAGAGAAGGTTTAGAGAGGAGARAGACTCAAACTAGTCAGGATCTGATTTTGTGTAAGAGAAAGGAACTTGTGTAGGAAGTAGTCAAAGATGAATATATATGACATTTATAGAGAACAGAAAATTTGACAGAAATGAACGTTTGTGTGAGAAAGTAGTAAGAAATCAGGTTAAATGTAGATTGGAGTTGGTTTATGGAGACTTTAAGGATTAGGATGAGAAGAATGTATTTTTCCCCATAGGTAAAGAAGAAGTTTTAAAAGTTTTAGATTGGGAAAGAGCTTTCTAAAATAAATATTTTAGGAAAATTAAAGTGGTGCCAGTACTAATGTAGTATGAAATTGAAAATGAAGGGATAGAGGTAGGAAAATATTCTCTGCCTGAAATAATGCAGAATTGGACTTAGTGGAAATAAGTCAGAGTGGAGAGATGTCACAAGACTGTGTCTTGGACTGGATAAAAAAAGAGGATATGGGGAGAAGAGTAGTTTAAAATGACTTTGAAGTTTTGATCCTCAGTGGCAGGAAATCAGAGGGTTTTGGAACTATCAGACATCTTGGAACATTTGAGCCAGTTCATACATTTTGTGCATAAGAAATGTTGAGACCCAGAGAAATATAAAAATGTGTTTGATGTTACTCAATTAGTTAATGACAAAGAAAGAACTAGAATTTGATTATGATAGTACTGACAAAATTGTATACATAGTAGTGATTTGAAGTTCTATCTATAGTGGAGTCTATTTTTTATATATTGAGTTTGAGGTGACACTTGATAGGCAAGTGAAAATCTATAGCCAGACATTGGGACATATGACTAGAACTTGGTAAAGAAATGAAGGCTGACACTCTAGTACTCAGAACTGAGTGTGGATCTGGTATTTAGTCTTGGGAATTGTCTATAACTGGAAAGTGTTCTCAATTTTAACACATGTTGCCAAATTAATATAGACATGATTTTCTACACCTTTATTAACAGAATGTTTTCAGATGACTTGGTCTTTGCTAATTTGAAACATGAAGATTAGACTCATGATATTTTATTTATTTAGCAGTACTTGAGTTGAAACCARGGGTGTTCTACCACTGTAGTACATATTCATCCTTTTTTAATTTTGAGACAGGATCTCTCTAAGTTTCTCAGGTTGGCCTCAAACTCGTGATCATCCTGCCTCTACCTCTCTAGTRGTTGGGATTACAGGCATGCACCACCTTTCCCG